CATCTTTTTTTTTTTTTTATGTGGTATCTTGGACGTGCTCTGTCAGTTTTCATTCAAATTTGGCACATACATGTACTTTATACATGTTAGGATGCATGTCCATGACAATTTGTTTCAAAATCTGGTCAAGGATGGCCGATTGACAGCCATCTGACTTTTTGGCCTTACTACTCTATTTCCACAATTTATGTACCATTTTCATTCGTATTTGGTACATACATCATACATATCAGTGTGTTTCATAATCAGATCAAAGATGGCCGAATAACGGCTGTTTTTTTTTTGGCCCATATTACTACTACTCGGAACACGTGTTTTGATGTAAATAGACAATCTGTTGTATACGCCACTTGGAACTCAAGTTTCAAGAACATGCTCGCGACAACCCCTCCACTTTAATATGACGAGTACAAAGAGAACTTTCAAAAATTTAACAGGGACTGTGTCATTTTCAATGACTTGTCTTTTTGTAAACTGTGTATATTCTCTATGATCCAGTTGAAAAAATGGTTCCGAAAGCCATACACGCTACCAGTAGTTCAATTACTTGTATAGAAATAAAAACACAGTTTAACTACAGATGGCTTGCCCTGTATATAAAAGGGCGGGCAGATCATAACATAGGGTGGGTATTTCATTACATAGACCATAAGTATAATATGTGAAAATGGACTAATGAGGGCGAGAAGATCACATCATAAGATGGAGAGATGGACTACAAAGGGCAAGGAAAATCAATAATGCATAAGATGAGAAAATTATAGAATAAGATGGGGAAGGTCATCTAGGTATATAAATTAACCATATATACAAGTTTGATAGTACTCACCTAATTTGAATGTAGAAAAAAAATATGGAATTTACTCATAATGACTTTTAAAGAAACAATTTAAACGACTCCAAATTATGTACATACAGAAACAAAAGTTCGTTACACTGTTAATTTAAGTTGAATGAACTGACCCTTATACATGTAGCTTATACCGGTAGTCAATATTATTAATATTTTATTTCCAAAAAACTTGATGAGATTAGTTAAATTGCTAAATTAAAATCCCGATCATTGTGAACTTGTCTTCAGTAAATAATTATAAAATTATTTTACCTTTTCAATACCAGTTCTATTTTTCATCACAAATTCACAAAATAGTCCCATTCAGAATAATGGGATAAAAACAGATAAATTTTTAGAGTAAAAACTGAAAATTTACATAATTTTGTCTGTTTGCTCCAAAATTAGGGTTCATTTCCAGAAATATTGAACTATATAAAAACAAAGTTGGTTGAGAAAGTCTGGTGATGAAAAGGTACTATTTTATAGGTTGAATGTTCTGTAAACATCCATATGTATATTGGAAAGATTAGTTTTAGAATCTAACATGAAGTCTGATTCACTGTATACATGTTGTTCCCAAGGTTTTGAAAGTAGACTTGACAAGACTTTGTAGTGTCAAGTAGCCTGATAGACTACAGGGAATATGAAATAGGATTCCATGCACCAAATATGTGAGGATACTTATAATCAAACCTATGTCAACGCCTGTCCCTATGGTCTGCTACTTAATAGTTTTATTCAATCACTTCTGGCAGATGTATCTTATAAAGTTACCAAAAATGTTCATTCAGTCAGTAGCAATGACAAAATAAATTAATTAGTTGCATACCAATGATAGTTTATCAGTTTATACTGGAATGGCGCCCTCATTGGTTGTTACTTGAGGGTGACTGCACACAGCATGGTCAACAGATTCCTTAACCATTTTGAGTGCCAAAGTCGACTTTTGTCACTATTCACAAAATAGTTCTATATACCATATGTGCATATTAATTAAGGTAATTTGCATATCATTAACACTTTGAGCACCAAAGTCACCTTTTGTCACTATTCACAAAATAGTTCTATATACCGTATGTGCATATTAATTAGGTAATTTGCATATCGTTAACATTTTGAGCACCAAAGTCAACTTCTGTCACCATTCACAAAATAGTTCTATATACCATCTGTGCATATTAATTAGGTAAAAATATTAACCATTTTTGAGTGCCAAAGTACACTTTTGTCACCTTTCACAGAATAAGGCTGAAGCCAACAGGGATTTTATCCAAAATTAAGAGAATTATAGAAAAACACAAAAATGTTTTACCAAATTTGTTTGTCAGAAAAAATGTGGTGCTCGAAAAGTTAATTGCTGTTAAACATGCAGGGTTAACATAAACTATTAATTTTGGTGATAATTAAGTTTTTTAGGATTTTTCTTGAGCTTTTGGTTGGTTTACTTGATTTTGCGTTTTTTGGTTCAATGGTGTGTTTGAGCAGGTCGTCTGGTGCATTTGTCTGCACTTTTTAATATTAATATTTTAATATTTAATAATGATTTTAATATTTGTTTTGGTGGATTGAACTGAAATGGCTTGTTTGTTATGTTCATTGGCTTTGTCTTGGAATTGAATCTCTGTGCCATACATCCAAACTGGATACATACAGGCATTGTACAGAAAAAATTACCAGTGGATTCTGGATGATGATTTGTGTCCTGCAATTTGCAAAAGAATGTGTATCATGATGGCCCTATGCCATACTTTAAAGAAGTGTAGTTGCCATGTAGAGTATGATTGAGTTTTGTGTATACTTACTATATAGGTCGTTGCACCGTGACGTTATTTCTTTACATTTTTGCCAACCAGCACAAGAATATCTGATAACAAATGTCGCTCATCGATCAGCAGTAGCTCACAATCTGCTGTGACAACATTGACTATAAGTTATTTTATCTGCCGTAACTTTAATATATGTTAAAGCCATGAGAACAAAGCCACTGTTTTATCTTCTGGTGGAATGATTAGTTTTTGTCAACGAGTCACTGCATATTCGCTTGCACATAAAAAACGGTGACTATATATACATTGCATGGGATTGGTATCGAACATGGATGATGCACCTCATTGGTGCTAAATAGTCCTGTGTATAGTCTGCACTTTCCTTCCGAGGATTGGAACAAAAATAGCCAAATTTTTTGAGTAAAAACCCATAATTCACTAAAATTTTGTCTGTTGGCTCCAAAATTAGGGTTCATTTCCAGAAATATTGAATAATATATAAGAAAAAGTGCAGAAAAATTTGGGCGAGAAAGTGTAGTGGTGAAAAGGTATCATAGAACTATATTTAGTACAATGCTGGTTATTTAACTATTCCGCCCAAGTACATGATGTTTTGAACCTAATGTGTATAACGACATGCATGCATGCTTGCTCTTCTCAAATACACGATTTGTTGTCGCAGATTAATGGAGTTCATTCATACAGGTGTTAACTTGTCACGATATAGGTGTTTCCGTTGATTAACCTTTTGATCTTCACATCACAGGGAGTCTAGTGTCATTAACAGTTCAACTGGAACTACTCTAGTACTTCATCTGTACCACTTCTCCTCAGACCACACATAAACACATCCACTCATGAGTGTGTTGCTAAGGGGTAGACCATTTATAATCATATGGGGGGGGGGGGGTCCACAGACTACGCACTGCATATAAACATTGCACACATTGCTAAAGGATAGACTATTTGTAATCGGTTCATTTTGATCGTCCACTGGCTACGTACTGCCTATAAAGCATCCACACATAGATGTGTAAAAGGGTAGTTCATTTATAATCAGGGGGGCAGTCTACTGACATCGCACTGCATAAAAAACATGGGTACACTACTGAGGGTGGGTCATTTATATTGTTGGAGTGTGCTTCCTCCTCGGTGCACACTGCATGTAAACAAACTATAGACTTGTTTATTTTATATATTTGCACAATGTGCTTGTGTTATGTTAATTGTTTTGACCATAAATTACATATTTAGTACATGATTTTGTGTCAAATAAAATATACTATAATATAAAACTGTAATGCATGAGTTTGTTGCTAAGGGCTAGACCATTTATAATAATCGAGGTACTTCCTCAAATCATGCACAGAATAGATAACTACTCACACATGCGTGTCTTGCTGAGGGGCTGGCCATTTATAATAATGGAGGTACTTCCTCAAATCATGCACAGAATAGATAACTACTCACACATGCGTATCTTGCTGAGGGGCTGGTCATTTATAATAATTTATTTTCAAACCATTCTCATATGGGTTTTTTTCTAAAACCAAAAACAAACTCTTTGAAAGATCAGAAGAAATGTGTTTGTTTTTTTTGGAAAAATCAAATCTAGCCTCAATTGCTTTATACTGTAAACCGTTTAATTTTCACTGCTTGAAATTTTTGTAATTTCATGATTTTACAGCATTCATGAAGACCAGTTTTTGCAAAAGTCACAAACAATCCAAGTCTTAGGATGACAGAGAAATTTTCATTGCTACAAAATTTTGCAATTCCCATTCATTGTGAATTAAAGTGGTTTTCTGTATGTGGGAGTAAGAAGTATTACCTCATAATGTCAAGCCTTGGTATACTGTAGAATACTTTATTTTCGCTTTGAATTTATTTTTGCTGAAGGGATGATTCCATGAAAATAAAAACCAGCGAATATACTTTTTTTTGCTATATTTCACATTGAACTCATCAAAAATAAGTGAAAATAAATTCCATACGAAATGCCCAAAAAGCCTTTTCAGCGAAAACTTATTCCAGCGAATATAAAGTATTCCACAGTATGTACTCAATTGTGGAATTTCCCTACACTCTTTTAGTCAGAAGTTTAAATGGTCCCCTTGTTATCAAGTTTTATGTTATTATTCACCACTAATCAGAATTATAGTCTCTGTTTGATCCCATACTAAATTTATCAAAATCGTCTTAAATCTTGATGCAACTGCAAACGATGCTGAGAGAAAAATACCAAAATTAAAAACATTTGGCACTGAATATTGGTTGGAAATAATCTACATATTACAGAGAAAACAAGTGGTCAAATTGTTTCCATGGAAACAAAGATTGAGTTTTCTTTGAAACAGAGGATACAACTTTTAACTTGAACACGTGGATAGCAGAAAAAAATGGCGTCAACAGACAATGCTGATGTTGACTCTGGTTTGAAAGTAGGAAGAAAATTGCTTTTAATTTTCAATTCAGTTCAATCTTTAAGAGTGAAAATTTATTAATTTGTATAGTTGTCCATTATATTGCTCTTGCTTGCAATCTCTTCAACTAAAAAAAGTTTATATTAGATGCAAACATTTTCCCACTTCAAAAATGCCAACTTGTCATCTTGCCAGACTCTGTACACAGCTGTTCGCATTTCCCCATTCAGACCACACAGCCACATCATTTACTGTTCTTTTGATGTAATCCTGATTCAAATGGACTGTGATGGTGTTTTATTTCAAGTTTGGTAATCTCGTTCCTTGGCAAGCAATATTTCAATTTGTGTGTTTATAGAGCACTCACTCTTTGTGCTTGAAAGCTTTTTTTTAGAATGACCTTTGTTTTAAGTGTTATCTGTTGACAAGTTGCTTAATAGATAAGTAATAGTAAGATATCTACAGTGTACCGAAATGTATACTGTGTTCTCACTTGAAGAAAGTTAATCGGGTTGCGTCTGTAATTAAAAAGATAAGGGTCTCATAATCATGCGTTCACACATAGCAATGCTTACAAGAGACATAAATATGGCAGCCACTGAATATGGCACACACTAGCAGTGACTCATAGATATGTTTCAGTTGATCATATATTTCTGTTTTTTGTGTACTTTTTCAATCGAGCAAAAATTGTTTACAATTCTAGGCCATATACATGAAAAAGGTCATAATAATATATATTATTATACATCTTTCAGCGTAACGTCATAAGTTACAGCGTACTGTAATTTTGCGGTATTTTACAGGGTATTTTCATCGTACCATATAAGTAAATGCGAATTCCAAATATTAAACAATTTTAGTACATAAGCATTCTCTAATAGTAAAAACAAATATGGCTGCCACCAGGGTTTGACTGGGCGTTAAACAAAGAAGTTTGCTGATTCTGTTGCCTCTGCCATATATAAACTCTTTTATGCCGTTTTATGCTAGCGAATGTATTACATAGTTATGTTGGTGCTGATATCCCTTCTGTATTTGAGTCCTTTACTTACCAACCTTAAAGTGATGTAAAGGGACAATGAATGTGAACATGATAATAATGATACTATTTTCATCTCAAAATATTATGTTTGTGTTATTAACATATGTGTCTATGATTATACCAAGTCATATTTTAATGATAAATAATAAAATGATGATAAATATTGATTTTTAATGAATAATAACAATAAATACAAGTTTAGTTTATGTTGACTTTTATTAGAGTTGTGTTTCTAATACAGTGAATATGGTAGTCTGTAAATGGGGAGTACTGGTATTATATTTGTCCCCGCCCATCCCAACTTAATTACTTCCAGTTCATTGGTTCATTCATGTAGTCTTGTATGTCAAACATACATTGTCTATTCAACATTGCTACAAAGTTACCATATAGTAAGGCAGGAAATAAATGAGTTATTCTGTAGCTGAGAATATCATTGTTTCAGATTTCTATTGAAAATTAATTTTATTTTCATTATTTGCACCAAATTACCCGTAATAAAATAAATACACGAAAAGCACCTATCCAAACATCAGACTATTCACTTTCCTTAGCCTCCAGGCATTCTAAAATTATCTCATGCATGTAATGTTTTCATATCCGGCACACAAACCAGGTAAAATTAATAGCCTTACTAATGTTTTTCGACATAAACAGTCTAGTGTTGTGTGTGTTCTGTTTTCTTTCATTATAACTCTTGTTTACAAACAGTCTGATTGAAATGTCAATTTTTGCTGATTGTATCAAATTTGATATAACGCATGACAATCGGAATTGAAGTCTGCTAAGTTCTTTTTGCTCTACGCTATGACCACAAAAGATTTGCAGATTTTATACCTCTCAATATTCAGTATTTAAATAAGATTTTCTATTACTAAATGCTCTCGGTTACCCAATGCTACTTTTATGAAGGGTGGTATTTCATGGAGGCTTCGTTACCTTGAATGCCCAAACCTGATAACGCTTTTAAAATGTTTTCATAATTTAATTAGACTCTGGCTTTTCAAGCAAGTTTGAGCTTTATATTGGATATATTCACATGACTAAAGTTACACATTTACACATTTTACTTAAATATTCTGAATTTGGATCTATGACTTGGAGTGCATTCATAAAGAAGCAAGAACCAAAAGCATTTATTTATTGAACAAATTATTTTTCTTTGGCATTATGTTACATAACAGTAATAATAATATCTTTATTACTAAAACATGATGATACAGTATAGTAATTTAAACACACAACAATGGGGTGACTTTGATATAAGAAGACTGTTCTTCATTTAATTTGGATCTTACTGGTAAAGTTATTTTTAAAGTATTTTTGAAAACTCACCCCAGTTTATGGGTAGGACATCGTAATGCATTGTGGGACAGTTTGCATCTAATGAGTGTGCAGAACCATCATTGGTGGAAATTTAATCGTTCAATTGCATGCAAACTTTCCCATGATTCTTTGCTTGGAATGATCTGTAACACGGTGACGGTGACGATGACCATGATATCAGTATGAAAATGTGTCTCAACATATATATAGATCTTTCCTTTTTCTGTCGAATAATGTAATAATAATAATGACTTTATTGAAATCATACCCTGTTTAGGATCTAGTTAAAATACAATAAAGTTTCCGATACATTAAAAATGGCAAGACAAAATACAAATGAAAACAAAATGAAAGCATAATGAAATAAAAAAAACGAAGAGAACAAGGTCTGATTAAATGATTAAAAAAATGAAACAGAAACGAATCTGAATGAGTTATATATGTATCAATTATAAATATTTTAAGACCGCTATTGTATTATACGACATAACTGGATATTAACAAGATTCCCACTAGATGTCTTGTAGCTTTAAGATACAAGTTTTTACAAAGAATCTTAGTGTTTAGCACGCGTTAACACAAGTTTCGCCATGTGGACTGGTATTAGGATGACTTTTGTATCAACAATGTTGATATAGCATGCTGCAATCATTATGGTAGTGATTTTATTTAGACCACTGGTTTGTTACTCCATGTGGAGATATCAATATGATTATCAGACTCTAGCATGACCTATGAACTTTGACCCCCAACCTATAACATTCAGTGATATGCATGCAAACACACACGTATACCTCAACTCTCATCAGTATCTCCCGCTTTGGGGGGGGGGTTACTAGTTAATTCAGTGGCGATTTGTTGGGACGTTTTATCTTTTTCTTGATACATGTATAATGTGGCATTTGAAATAAAACAGACCGACTGAGATCACTACGTTTTAATTTACTCGATTAGTAGCACATTTAGACTATACGTAGGGGTGTCTATGGTCAAAATACCTATGAGAAGTGCATCTATAATAGAAACGCATTGTAAACTGAGAACTAACTTCTCAGAGTAGAGTGAACCAAGAGAGCATTGATCACCAAATCCGGAAAGAGAATAACCTACTGGAGAGGAGCACTTGTAAACTAAGATGTTTATTACTCAACTGCTAGGCAACTGCAACTGACTAAACTTATGCAAATGACTAAACTTATGCAAATGACTAAACTTATGCAAATGACTAAACTTATGCAAATGACTAAACTTTGGTCATAGCCTCAAATCATCACATGCATATAAACCAAAAATTACATTGGTTGTATAATGAATCATTAAAATATAATTATTTTGACCATAGAAACACTTGAGATATTGGAACACATTGAATAACTCTGGAGTCAAAATAAGTGTTCATGCAGCAAACTTCAAGGTCACATCAAAGGTAGTATTTGTTCCTGGCACTGAGAGAGTGCATTGGATTGTGGGAAAATCACTTTTTATCAATACAAATGTCACACATGCGTGGTGTGACATAAATGTCCCTTTAAAGGAAAGACAAACAAAACAATAAACCCTATGTCGGTTTTAGTTGTTCTTTCTAAAGATGGATTGCAACTTTAAATAAAGTAATGTTCCAAACTTTGCACTATGTTATGATTGATCTGCATCTGACAAACACGTACCACCATACAATGTAACTACTTTGAGAGCCTACAGGACCAAGTCTGCTCATTCAAGAAAAAGTTACAGTTACCTAAAATGTCAATGAGCTATTCACATCACCACTCATGATTTTCTATTTCTCTTTGAAAACAGTTAGTTAAACTCTTCCATAAATTTAAGCACAACAGTGCCTGAAGTGTTTCCGAGTGTGTGTTCAATTTTGAAGCTTTGTTCTGTCTCCACTATCGAGTATAACTAAGTATTCCCTTCAGACATTGATTTTTTTTCTTTGTAGAAAAGCATTTGTTTTATCTTTCCATGATGATAAAGTAACAGAGGCCTTAGAATGAATTGCTATTTAATGGAAACACCCTCTGGTTACGTCCCTGTTTTAATGGACAATTCACAGCTGCATTCACCCTTTCACTTCATTCAAAACATAGAATGTTCTTTACCAAAATGTTGCCAACATTAATGTTTTGATCAAACCATTTAGCAATGATTAGATTCTGTGTGTTTAAATTACTGAAATATGTTTAAAACTTTTGATTAATTCTATAAAGCTGTATCAAGTTCTGTCTGGTCCAAAATTATCTTTCAAATTAGGATAAGTTACAAAAATGTGAGAATATTTCTTTCAAAATTTTGGCAGTGACATATAGATAAGATAGATAACAGCTTTATTACAACCGTGTACAAAATTTTACATTTCTAATTTGGTGTTTAAAATGTAATAAAGTTAATAATGAATAACTAAAAAAAAGTAAGTAATATTGAAAATTTCAGTAACATTTTCAAAAGCTATTAAAAACATTCTTCAGACTTCTGAACTGCTTTCTAACTCTGGGAATTTTTTTTGTTATTTTTGTTTGTGGCAGTATCTGCTGAGTGAATGTGTGACGGGATTTGCGTCAACCCCAGACAGCCTTCAGTAGACTGTGATATGTTGGCTCCAACTTGACTCATGTATATAGTCAGTATCTCTAAAAGTCTAATATTT